ATTGAGTTTTGCAATGCAGAACATCCGTCATATTGGTTTGTTTAACTGACAGCTAAAATTAATATTGTATTCTAGGTATTCGCAAAAAGATTCCAGATAATTTCAAAATCTTCGATTATTATAGAGTAATATAGTAGATACATAGTATCGCCAATGAAAATTGCTAGGATGGTTTATTAACCATCTTATTTCATTTCATTCCATTAGCTGCTTCAATAGATTTTAAAGTACTCTCGATCTAATTTAACCTTACCTAGTTGTTCAATTTAAATAAAATCAACCTAAGCCTATTAACCCACAAAAAACTTTAAGATTAAATTTAAATTAATCATAAATTTATTGCATTAAAACAAATTCTGAATATATTTTCATGTGATTAATTATCAAGTTTTATATAAATTTGCCAACAAGTGATCAAGTTTTTCTTATACTGAACAGAACTGATACAGAACTGATCTGATTAAATCATGGCTAGGAACTCAAAAAATTGGTTTCCTAATTCGAGAAACTCATAAAAATCATAATCCAAAACTGACAATTATTAGTTATTAGCTAAGGAAATGAAGTGACGTTTATATTACTATTTTTTGATATTGTGCATGGACAGGTGGTAGCACCAAGCCATAATTTTTCAAAAATGAAAAAATGCAGGAGTCATCATCATTGGTATCCGTTACTGAGTCAGGCTGAATGATTTCTTATTTCGAGAAATGCGTAAACAGGGCCTGTAAGGTATTTCATCTGATCAAGATAGTGTCACAAGGCAGACTTCTAGGATAACATATCTATTAGGAATGCTCATAGCCAATAAGTAATAGGGTAATGCAGTAATATATTAAATAAAAAACTTGATGACAACTTTATCTGCATAAATGAATCCTTTGTCTTATAAAAAGTTTCTGTGCGTTCAAGCCAATGATGATTGCAGCATTGAAAGACAACTACAGTCTTCACGTTTTTGAAATATGGGCTCAAATGATCGAAAGACAGACAAATTGAGTCTTCAGAGTGAATATTCTCTGAAGCTACCGTGGTAGGCACATTATTATAATTTATAAATTGGACGCTTTTCTAGAGCGACATGCAGATCTATTGTGACCGTTACTGATACTGATACTGGTACTGAGTATATTGAAACTCCAATTTTCTCGAAATATTGTAATACAAAAAATATTTTACTAAATTTTATTTCATTATCTGATATAGGATGTCCACTTAAGTGTTTCTTTTAATATGCATTGGCGAAGAATAAACTCGTAGCACGTGTTTAAGAACTCATCCTTTTCCTAATACATAAACCTGCCAGTTCCATTAGAGTAAGTTTCCAGTTTCACTGACTTACAGTTCAGTCTACTGTACCTAGTCAGAATTTTTCTAATTATTCTAAATATATTTTTATATAATTAGCCATAATTATTAAGTTGTTTCATACTGAAAGTCGCTGTAAATAACTTTGATCATGACTTTGATCCGATTATTCAACACCAACATTACAATATAGCATTTCCTGCCATAATGTTATATTCTGAACGAAATATTTAGGAATTTTATTAATTTGTGAGTATTTTATTATGCTTTGAAATTCTACACCTCTTTGAAAAATATTCTTTACAGGTTATATCTAGCTGGACGCAAAGCAATAATAGATCATTGGAACAATGCTTAATAGAATACAACCTCAATACAGATTTTTAGTGAAACCACGTTATATGTTTAAAAAATTTAAACAGTGTTTGAAGTTCAGAATCCAGGCACAAACGAAGATGGTAGGAAGGAGGATTTCAGTCCCTCAAGGTGGAAAGAATCGAACGATTGCATATGTACATTATTTTTACTTATTTATTTCTACATTTTGTACTTTATTGTTAATGCATCTACTTTACTGAATGCTAAACAAATATGAAATCAATTTAGCATTTTATTCTAAAGCCTCCAAATTTAACTTCTAGCAATGGATCTGCCTGAATCGTAATACTTTGTAGTATTAAAAAACGAAACAATACTTTTGAAAATATGAAAGAAAACTAAAATAAAACGATCCCTAGAATATAACTCTTATAAATTTTATATCTATCTTTTGTAACCAGCACAATCTATGGTAAATACCAATCCCATTGATGCAATCCATCAATGACACCTTAAATGGAAACTTATTCTAAGTTCAAGAATATGTCATATCTAACGTATTTGATTCAGTATAATCTATAATCAATAACAATTTTTTATCTATACTTGTAAAAGTCAGTGAAAGATAAATTATGTTCGGTATTTCATAGAATTTATCACATTTTATTAATTGTTGCGATTTTGGTTCTTCTAAGCTTTAACATCAATAAATAATTAACAAAATACAAGTCTAACTACTGTTATGCGGTCATTACTTTAATGATGATAAGCCACTGCAGATTTAACGACTGCTGCTGGAGCGACGTAGCTTGTGTAAGATACTGGAGCAGATTTCACAATAGTAGCTGGAGCAGCATAGTGAGCAACTGGAGCAGTATAATGGGCAACGGGGGCGGCATATTGAGCTACTGGAGCAACAGTTTTAACAACAGCTGGAGCAGCATAGTGAGCAACTGGAGCTGCGTATTGTGCTACAGGAGCGGAGTAGTGAGCAACTGGAGCAACTGTCTTGACAACAGTTGGAGCAGAGTAGTGAGCAACTGGAGCGACAGCAACAGCTTTTACGAGTGGTTCACGGTGTACGACAGCATTGAAACCATTATGTGGATCAGCGGTATATTGTACAGTACGTTTATAACCATCAGCATCGATAAGAGAGTATTCGCCACGAACTACATCACCATCACGTTCTTCAACTTGACTCTTGGAATCACCAGTCAGTTTGTCATCGACACCATATGAGAATCTGTATTGTGGATGTGGATCATATTCTTCGGACTTAACGATGACCTTTTGAGCAACGGCTAGTGGGGCGGCATGTACAGCGACTGGTGCTGCTTGATAGACTTGAGCGACGGGTGCGAAACCAGCGCTGGCGACAGCTACGAGTGCGAATGCGAAGACAAACTGCGAAATAAAAATTTCAACAAAAATGAATTATTAATCCGAAAGATACTTGATATTTGCTTGATGTTTGATTTTGTAGTGTTTGTAATCACAAATTATAAATCACAAATCACTTAACTCACTTTGAAAGCCATTTTAGCTGATTTGAGTTGATTTTGTTCTTTACAGAAGTGAACACAAGAAGTAAATGATACAGTTTCTCGCGACGTCGACATTATTTATACGAAATATCTGAATGTGCCAAATTGATTGACAGATAATTACAATTAGATCTGTTACCAATATTGTTATGCCAAATTTATTTTTTATTTATTTTGTTGTCATAAATTATTGATTCATTCTATTGTGCTTAAATGGATAAAATATTATATAATTAATTCTTGTTAACTTATTGTGAGCAGGGTGGGGTGCACGATTTTGGTTGTAGGTGTAAGACCGCGAAATTTATGTTTTGTGCTTATTTTAAAAATATATTTAAAAACTAATAGAGATATAAGATTTTGATTAGTGGTTGTGTAAAATATTCAAAAGTTTTAAAAATCTGAAATTAAATGATCATTTAATTAGGATTGTTAGGTTTGGTGATAATATTGATCAATATAAATACTTCATGTAAAAGTATTTTAAAGTGAATAGACAGACAGGATACAGTACTGATGAGAATGTATGAGAATTGCAAATGACATTATGATTGATTTAATATGGTTGATTTAATCAGATTTTATCTAAATTTCAGATTAAAATAATCCTACTCGACGCATTTGGTTGGTTCAACCATATCACTGGTTGGTTTTCATATCTTCTTTAGCACATGAGCCAGAATTTTTCTAACAAAATTATCAGGTCCTATTCACCTGTATGTAGTTAGACTATGATTTTCTGAGTGTACGAAAAGTTACTTGCGAAAACCAACCTTGGACACTTTTTTATAATAGTATTTAGTATTTAATTATATTTATATTACGTTACAAATATTATTACATTATATACATTATATAGTTTATATTATTATATACATTGTAACTATAGTATTTACGCTATTTATATTAATGCCCATAATTGACGTACTTCTGATTACGTTTCAAATAGAACTCAGCATTTGTTTGGTCCTTCATTACTTAATTGTATATTAATTACTATGTACTAATTACTAAATTATATAAATAAATATATTTGGAACTGGAAGGAGAAAGTGTGCCCACTTAAATAAACAGGAGAAGTATATTTTAAAAATTTATAACCCATCGTTTCGTTTTAGCAGAATTGTATAAATAAAGAAACGATGATAAAATTAAGAGTTTAAGAGTTATTCTATCGAAGATGAATACTCCAATTTATAATTGCATGTCCTTAGCATATTGATATTTATACGCTCTGATTTGATATAAAATCAAATTAAAATCTTTCTACAAATCTACATTCTTATAGATGTCTAAATGATCGCTAAATATTAATTAACTAGATATATCCTAATACAGATGATAATAAAGATGAAACATACTTCTACATAATTCAAACCAGAGTAATACTATGTCTTTAACATAGTAATATGTCTGGTAATACATTGTTTGGATACAAAGCTTAAAGGTTGTATACCAAGTTATAGCGTATCGGTTAAAGGTTATAGTGACAAATACACACGATTTATTACAGTGAATGTCATTAGCAGTTTATAATGAACGTAACATCAGAAACTACCGTAATTTACTAGAGAATTAATAGTATATACATATTATACTTGATATCTTTTTACATTTAATATTTTAAACTTTATATATGGAATCTATACAATAATTACAAATATTATGATAATATATAGAAACAGAATATGCAGATACAAAAGTTATTAGTATTTAATTGCTTCAATTTGATTGCAAAAGTGTGTAGGTATAAACGACCTTTGAGCACTAAATACACTAGTGTGGTTCTATTGTGACTATTGTTAAACATATGGACTTTTTATACTTTTACGAAAATATACAAGGTTCACGAATTGAATTCTTTTATACCCCGTTTTTGGTAACGTTGCTTAGATACGACTTATTGGTATACCCACATAAAATCTGATATAAATCTGATATAAAGTTAATACATATAATATGCTCTCAAGATTGTATTGTATCAAAAGTATTTAATTTATTCAATCGTTTCAAAAAGTTCCGTAATGGTCCACCTTGCTTACTTGCATTATCACACTTCTCAAATTTTGGTATTTTAATTTTGATTTATAATAGACAACGCACATTTTTTTTCATTCAAATTCATTATAATAATTATTTTAAAGATCTCTTTATTACTAAATGGAAACTGGAACAATTACTGTTCTAAATTGTGTAGATTAATACATGACCATGTATGTCTTCCATTTACACGACCATGGATCCAACATATAGGAGAGTTGGTCATAAATGTATATATTTTTCATTGACAAATATTATATTAGACAGAGTATTTAAAGAGCCACCTCACCAGAATTTTCCTTTAAAAATGTCCAACGTCTGACAGTAGTATATAGGGAACATATACAAAAAGTTGAATATAGCTTTCATTCTTAGGTTTAGGATTTAGGGCCATAATAGCATACAGGTATATATATATGGAGTATAGGTTAAATATACATATCGTATGCTCTCAATGCTTATTTGACTGGCAATATAACATCACTAATATATCTGGAGATTATACTAATCTGATTTTTTTCTTCAATTGTGTTAAGCTCATTATAAGGGATCCAAGGTACTTGAATAATTTCTTTTATTTATGTACGTAGCTTAAATCTTCCGTTATATGTTAGTGAGGTATAGCTAATATTTCCATTACAAAGTTTAATGTGAATTTTGATTATAGTATGTTAGATATTGCTATATATTGTAAGTTTTAAGCAATATCTATGTAAGAAAATATTCGAGTACTTAAAAATGTTGTGAATATTGGCCAAATTTTCATTTATTTCCACGTCACAATTAAAAAGTTTATTGTTTCTTAAACAATTTTAAATAAGAACTCAGAAAATAGTATTGATTAATTTATTATATATTTGTGAACAACAATAGTAGTTTATACTATGCCAACAAAGGACTTTATCAATACTTAAGGATCAAAAAGTGTTCATATATAAAAATTTGTACCACAGTAACTAAATTAATCACATTATTTAAAGTTACTAATACTATAAAAGGCAATTGATGGATGTAATTAAATTGTTAAAATAAAAATACTTCTCATATGTGACACATACACAAACAATTAAAAATGCATTGTTTTCAGCTGTGATAAATGTAGAGGCCAAATTTTGGTAACAAATCTTTGAAAGTAATTTTTAATTTGATGAAAATATATGATTACTTTTTAGTATAAATAAAGCAGGTAATTTGAGAAACTGTATCATTCAGGTGCAGCACTCACTTCTGCAAAGAACAAAGTATCAACAAAAAATACCAATAACCCAAACACAATATTTTGAAATGGCTTTCAAGGTAAACTCAATTTCGTGTTAAACTTCATTAATAATTAGTCACAAGTATCAGTAAATTTTTCAAATTGACCAACGATTTTGCATTTGACTTTACAGTTTGTCTTCGCTTTCGCACTCGTAGCTGTCGCCAGTGCTGGTTACGCACCCATTGCTCAAGTCTACCAACAAGCACCAGTCGCCTTACATGCCGCCCCAGTAGCCGTTGCTCAAAAGGTCATCGTTAAGTCAGAAGAATATGATCCACATCCACAATACAAATTCTCATATGGTGTTGATGATAAATTGACTGGTGATTCCAAGAGCCAAGTTGAAGAACGTGATGGTGATGTAGTACGTGGTGAATACTCCCTTATCGATGCTGATGGTTATAAACGTACTGTACAATATACCGCTGATCCACATAATGGTTTCAATGCTGTCGTACACCGTGAACCACTCGTGAAAGCTGTTGCTGTCGCTCCAGTTGCACACTACTCTGCTCCAACTGTTGTCAAGACAGTTGCTCCTGTTGCTCACTACTCCGCTCCAGTAGCACAATACGCAGCTCCAGTTGCTCACTATGCTGCTCCAACTGTTGTGAAGACAGTTGCTCCAGTTACTCACTACTCCGCTCCAGTAGCACAATACGCAGCTCCAGTTGCTCATTATGCTGCCCCTGCTGTCGCTTATCATCATTAAGTATACCAAAAGTAGGCATGTCTTACTCCCATTGTTAATTTATTTATTTTCGCCAATAAAAGTTGAAGCATTAATTCGGTTATATATTTTTTTAATATATTTTTAATTTGTACATATATGGAGCAAATTAGTCGTATATGTAGAAGGTGCAGATTTATGTTATAGGAAATTACAAACGAGCTGTGTGAGGAGGTCGCGAATGTTAAGGCACTTAAAACCCAATGAGTAACAATCGCAAAATCAGATAATATCAAGTTTTTGCATAATTTTATTAATTTCGATATATGTACATAGTACACGGATACATATTTATCTAATTTGTAACCTTTTTAGGTACGTTTGACGACAATTACGATCACAATATCAGATATCTTGCTATTAAAGGAACTAGTAACGGAACAACGCGAGAACGAGTACGAGTACGAGTGTGACAATTCAAATTTATTCGAACGAGTTAAACTCGTTTCTTGTTCAGAGTCAGTCTCGCTCGAGTCAGATATATCATCGATAGTCGTATACACAATAATAAAAGCGTGAAAAGATGCATTAACCGATTATGCCCACATCGCAATTGAATTTAGACCAATTCGATTTGTGATTGGCTTTTTTGTCACTTGCGTCTCTTCTGAGCACGACATTGAAATTCCAAAGGCGAATGGAATTTCCTAATTTGAACGATTTTAAATTAATTTTATGATCGTTGCTAGTTAAAGAAATAAAGATACTCGTAAGTTGAGCGAAAATCTGCAGACGGAGCGAGCAAAACAACACTGGCAGCACGTGGTTTGCATATTTCCGGTTCGATTACGTTAATGGCTTAAATAAAACATAATCCCATAATCGCATTAGTTGGCTATTTTATTTTTTGATTACTTATTTATGTTATTTTTGAGATATCTTTTACTTCTTTATTTTTAGAATTTGTTTTGACGTCTTTTAAACCTTTTTTGACATATTTCCCACACATCAATGTTATAAGCCAGAACGCGTTTGTAAGAATCGTGTAAGAGATTTAATATTCTTTAATTA